TTTATGTACTTTTTGGCATTTATAAACAAAAGGTTTATTGTATGAAAATTTACATAAGAGTTTTGAAAATATTATTGTAGGCGAAAGGTCTTGCTGAAGAAAAGCCCTTGAACAACAATAATAATAACAATAACAATTGTCTTAACATATATTTCCACTTCACAGTCCCATATCCAAAGTGTTTTTTTTTGAAAACTGTTCTCAGTGCTTTGAAATCTCTGTAGTTTTAAAGTAGTTAGACAAACACCTAACCTTCCCTAAATCTCTAAGCTTGGAGTCGGTTAGTAAACTAAGTTAGGTAAGAATAGAGCGTAGAAGAACTCCCAACTCTAGGTGTATGAGTCCCGACTGAAACCCAAATGGAAATCAACCAGCTGGTTGTGAGTTAGAGAGTGACATAGAGGAAATCCCACAAGAAGAAGGAGGTAAAATTTCATAGAAAATCATAGAGCCAGCTGAAAACATGCAGAGAAAAGGATGAAATGTTGATGTTTTACTGAAGCCTTATCTTTCATTAAGAACCCGAGGGAGTAATAATAAAACCCAAAATTTTATTCTACAATACACTGACAACTGAAGTAGAAAAGACCTCAGGTGAATGAGACCCTGGAACATAATATCAGATATCCAGGTTGACTACTGGGAAGAGGTCAACACAGATGAAACTGCTACGAGATAGTGAAAAGAACGTAATTACCAAAGGGGAGGAATAAAAGAAAAGTCACTTCGAAAGATTTTTGAACTAACCACCACATACAACTTGTTTGGAAATACCAATGACAGCCACAAAACTTACTTTGAATAGCGATCCCCCCCCCAAAAAAAAATCAGATGTCTTCAGCGTAATCAATCTACTGAAATGCAGTCAAGAAGGCAGGCGGCTCAGACGAAATCCCTCCCAAATCACTGGAAACGGGTAAGCAGATATCTTCACAGCAATATTAGAGAAAGTTTAGAAGGAAGGAATGGTACCTACTGATCAGAAGAAAGACTACCTTGTCAAAGAACCAAATAAAGGGACCAGAAAACACAGGAAGAGAACTCATCATGGGTCGAGAAACACTTGGAGAGACGAGTGAAAACGAAGAACTCTTCGCAGACCTCTGTGTCGTTTATGAACTAGTGATTGGTGGCAGCGTATACAAGCACAAAGATATCCACAAGGCTACATGGGTGTCACCAGATGGGCTGACCAAAAACCAAATTGACTTCATCTCAATCTCAAGGAAGAGGAGACGGAGCTTACTGGACACAAAAGTAAGAAGAGGAGCAGACAAGGGACAATCCAAACAAAATTAAAAGCTTTCAGAGAAACAGGAGCTGCAGATAGACCACAAGTCAAGTTCAACACTCAAAAACTGAAGGACCAGGATACAAAGGACATCTTGACTGCACACATAAGGAAAAAAGTGGAGACACAAATCAACACTATCGGAGAGGTCAGCGTTGAGAAGCACTAGAAACAGCCTGAAAGCAGTGTGGAGTCAAACCTCCAGGTAAAAAGTAGAGACAGGACAAACGGTGGCTCACTACAGACACATGGAGACTAATTGAAGAGAGAAGAATTTTCAGACAGAAAATTATCCAGTGCATCGACGAGAAACAAAAACAGGAGTTGAATGCAACCTGCAATACACAAGGAAGACAAAAGACAATATTATGAAGTTATGGCAAGTGAAGCAGAACAAGTTTCAGGTAAAGGAGACCTTGCAACACTCTTCCAAACAACCAGGTTCTTATCAGCAAAACGTTCAACACAAATAAGCCATTGAAGGATGACAATAGGAAGCCAATCACCAAAGAGGTGCAGCAAAGGAAACGCAATGCTGAACACTTCAAACGACTTCTAAATCGACCACCACATACAACGCACCTAATAATATCAACAGCGGAAGCAGAAGTATCAGTGGATACCAACCCTCCAACGAGAACAGAAATCCTGAAGGCAGTTGAAAATGCTAAATCTGGAAAAGCAGCTGGACCAGACGGAATCCAAGCAGAAGCATTGAAAATGGATCCAGAAACGTCAGCGGACTTGATGGCACCACTACTAAGGAAGGTGTGAAAAGAGGGCAAGGTACCTGCTGATTGGAAGAAAGGCTACTTATTCAAACTGCCATAGAAAAGAGACCTATTTTTGATTGGACAGTAGTCAGTAACTAGTGTTATGTGTCTATTCCTATCTTTGGTGCAGATTGAATTCTACCAGTCATCACAGTGCACCGTGAATTGTTGGTAGCAATCGGCACCGTGATGGCGAGCCACATTGCAAGCTTGACTGATAGAATTCAGTCTGCACCAAAGATATGACTAGACACATTACACTAGTTACTGACTAGTGTCCAGTCGAAAATATCCAACACAGTCTTACAGAAGGTCAATCAAAAGCCTGAATAGATCAGTGGTAACGTCTCTCACTGCGATACTCACTCAGTGACGCGGGTTCGAATCTCAGAAGGGATATGAGTTCCTTTTGGGTTGCAGATACGCTTTGCTGATGAGTGCCAACTAGCATTAAACCTAGGTTCAAGGCTTCCAGCTGATTACCTCCATCCATGTAATACCAACAAAGGAGGCTTAAGTCAATGCAAGAATTGCCGCGGCATTATCCCCCAGTCTATCCTAAGCAAAGTACTAAGCCGCATCATCCTGGAGAGAATCAAACACGTCCTGGATGAAAAACTTCGAGCGGAACAGGCTGGATTCAAAGAAATAAGTTATGCATCGATCAAATCGCAACATTACGAATTATCATTGTACAGAGCTTGGAATGGCAGTCTGCTCTCTACCTCAATCAACTTCATCAACTTTGAAAAGGCCTTCGACAGTGTTGGTCAAGAGGTGATTTGGAAACTATTTTGCTAATACAGGGTGCCGCCAAAAATTATACATCCCATCCAACAGTTGTACGACAAGGCTGCATGCCAAATAATCCACTAGAGGAAACTCACAGAATCCTTTGAAGTGCAGACGTGAGTAAGTCGGGGCTGGCTTGTTGCCTACTATCTCCAGTGATTATCCTGATTGCGGCACACTGGATAATGCGACGGGCAGACACCGGGCCGAGCAGCGAGTAAACAGGTATAAAATGGACCCACACAAAAAACTTGGAGGATCTGGAATTCACCAATGATATATGCATGACTTCCCACAAAATGAAAGATGTGCAAGTGAAAAGCAAGAAGTTGTCGATAGAAAAAGCATCCATAGAAGATGGAACTTCAGGTGAACATAGAGAAAACAGATGTGGTGATGAAGATTCCTTGCCAACAGCAACAGCAACAACAACATACAGCAATCAGCATAAATGGGAGAAATCTGAAAGAAGCAACCTCCTTTACCTAACTGGGAAGCATCGTTTCAACTACAGGTGGACGGCACTGACGAGGATATCAAAGCAACGATCGGGAAAGTGAGTCAAGCTTTCATTACTCTCAAGTCTGTGTGGAGGTCAACAGCCCCACTCACCATCAAAAATAACATCCGGATTTTCAACTCCGACGTGAAGTCAGTCAGTGTTACTGACCAAAGACTTGGCGCGTCATGAAGAGCACCTCAAACAAACTACAGACCATCATCAAAATCTGTCTTCGCTCAATATTCAAGATCAGATAGTCGGCCAGAAAAGATCAACAACAGGGATGTCTGGAAGCGAACCAGCCAGGAACCGATTGTGCAACAAGTATACAGGAAGAAACAGAAGTAGACTGGCCATACTCTAAGAAAACAAAGCAACAGGTAACATCACACGCCAGGCTATCGCTCAAGTGGGACCCTAATTGGAAGCAGCGAGCTGATCTTCAGTGTGAGAGTGGGGTGATATGGTGGAAGTCATCCAAAGAGGATATGAAAGCATGTGGGCAGAAGTGGAACCAGGTGAAAACACTGGCGGAGAGCCAAAGGCAGTTCAAACGTGCGGCTGAAGCCCTATATTTTTCTAGGAACTAAAACAGACAATAATGATAAGCTTCTGCAAGAACTGGCACCAAGCAAAATATTAAGTAGTGTCATTAAAGAGTTTCTGAAAGGAGCCGTGCATGCCATACTCCTCCTGAAACAAGCTGGATTCAGAAAAAGTAAATCTTGAGCGGATCAGATCTCAGAGCTACGTATTGTCGCCGAACAAAGCATAGAATAGCAGTAAAATCTATGCCTCAACTCAATCAAATTTTGGAAAGGCCTTTGACAGCATTAAACGCGAAGCAATTTTGAAATCCAGTGATGCCTCTGAAATGAAGACAGGAGTGAGACAAGGCTATTCATATCCACACAAAATTCACTTTTAACAGTTTTAAAAAATTTGGGCTTTGGGTGTATGACATTCATTATCGCAAAAGATTTTATATTTTCAATGAAAACAATTTCGTCTTGTTTTTCATTCATTGGGTCTGGATTATGTGATAGACCTCGAGGAGTGAGAAGACATAAACATGGACTCTGGAAGATCTACACTTCATCGGTGCTTTGTGTTTGATGTCGCGCAAGTTTTGAGATTTACAGACAAAAACCAGCAAAGTGACAATACAAACAGGTGGTGGAGACAAGACTTCAAGGGAATATGGAGAAGACGGAGACGATGAAGATAACTAACCAGCAATAACAAGTATCAGTCACTATCCACAGGAGAAACTTTGAGGAAGTCATTTCTTTCCCTAATCTAGACAGCACTGTTTTTGTTACAGGAGGCATGGATGAGGATGTTATAGGCAGCAACAATAAGGCAAAACAGACAATATGGGCGGTAGTGAAGCCAGCTAAATAGGGGTACAGGGAACTGAATGAAATGGTGATTTGCTGCTGAGATCACATGAACCCAAGGAAATAATAATGATAAAATCTGAGGTATTTTACAGATAAACAGAGAAATTCAGATCACTTTACAATAAGATTAATTTTACCCCCAATAAACAAATTTCATTGGTTGATTGCCCACCACCATTTTGATTGGTTAGTTTGGAAAAAGTATAATTCGTGTTTAAATTAGCATTAAATTGCCTTATGAATAAGTCAAGTCTTCTTGTAAACTTGATAAACATAAATTCACAGATGATTTATCAACAATTTTATATTTGTGGAGAAATTCATAAATATTCAGACTGTTTATCATCTAAGCAAATTTAAAAATAAATTTCAAAACAGGAAGGTATTTGAGTGTATATAATGTAGGAGGAAATCTATGGATATATTTCATTATTGTTGGTTTGGAACATATTCAAAGAAAAATGGTCTCTGAGATTTCATGGCAATTGCTTAAACAAGCTAGTATACTTGGTTTAGCCCCGGTGTTGTCCAATGAAGTTGATCTCATTGATTTATGTACTCAAACGCCTATAACTGATGATAAAATTATCATAAATGTTAGTGGGGTTCATTTTGAGCTGACTGAATCTCTAGTTCAGCGTTATCCATCAACACTACTTGGTTCAACTGAACGTGAATACTTTTATGATTCTGTCAATAAGGAATACTTCTTCGATCGTGATCCTGAATTATTTCGATATATTTTAACATATTATCAACATGGAAAGCTACATTTTCCGAGGAATATGTGCATATCAGCATTCGAAAATGAATTGAAATTTTTCGCTATTTTATCAGATAATTTATCCGACTGTTGTTATGAGAATTTTATTGATCATTCAAAGGATATTGAACAACGTCTTGAAGATGATAAAAAGTCATTTGCACAGAGCAATAAATCACTGACTGTAACAAAGAAAACCTTTCGAGAAAAATTGTGGGCAATGTTTGAAAATCCTGAAGAGAATAGTGTTGCCTATATGATATATTATACAACTGGATTTTTTATTATTATCTCCGTTCTATCTAATATGGCGGAGACATTACCTTATAATGATGGTAAACTGATGGATACTCATCCGATAAGGACATATGGTGATAAATATTCAAATATATTTTTCTGTATAGACACAGCTTGTGTATTAATATTTACTATTGAATATTTGTGCCGGTTGTATGCTGCACCATCACGTTTAAAGTACGTACGATCGATTATGGCTATTATCGATTTAACTGCTGTTCTACCCTACTATATAAGTCTAGTTGTTCCGGCTGGATTACAATTCTCAGGTTCATTAGTCACACTTAGAGTATTTCGAGTATTTCGTATATTTAAATTTTCACGACATAGTCAAGGTTTACGCATATTGGGATATACATTGAAATCATGTGCTGAAGAATTAGGCTTTTTATTATTCAGTTTAACATTGGTTGTGATTATATTTGCTACAGTGATATATTATATTGAAAAATTTGATGAAAATTCTACATTCTATAGTATTCCTGATGCTTCATGGTATACTATTGTTACTATGACAACGTTGGGGTAAGCTTACTAATATTTATATATATAACATGTCTCATTTCTTTTTCCTTGATCTATTGTTTATTCCTAATTATTATTATTTAAGTCCAGTGTTTGCTTTCTGGCATTATAAACAGAACATATTACGTTTATTCTGAAGTGTATTTCTATTTTGTCTTTTCTATGTTGTTTAAATGAATTATTCAATGTTCCAATAGTTACTTTTATTTTCTACATAAATCAGCATATTAACAGTGAAAGCAAATTGAGACATAAATCTAATTTTACCTCATGAAACTTATGCATTTAACTGGTTTCATAAATTTAATGCATAAAAATGAAAGAATCTCTGAGTTTAGGAGTAAAAATATTCTAGCAAAAAATGGGTGTAGGCAATTGGGATAAATAGTTATGTCTTGTTTAATGAAAGTGTGTATACAAAAAATAAACATTGAAATATGAATATTTATAGCGCGGATAGTTTAAAATGAATGCATAATACACTTTGTCCTGGAAAACATATAACTTGCTCTGATTCAATTATTCTTTTTCATGGTTATTAACACTAACATTCAGAATATTTGTTTTATCATAAATTAAGACGAATATCACTTATTTTGACGAGTTGATTACGGATTGATATCAGTTAGAGAACCATTGAAAACCAGCCACAGGGAGTACTAGACAGCTGTTTCATCCTAGTTTGGGAATCAATGGCAATACGCACCCACTAGGGTTCCAACTTAGGACCCTCTGGTTACAAGGCAAGCTCGTATACCATTCAGCCACTGGGATCCAATTCAGTGGCCAGCTCATGAATTCTAACTTCTACCAATTCGTGATTTAGCGCGATCAGTAAGCAATGTCAACTCGTAAAAACAAATCTAACCCTTACTAACCAACTATTAGAATTTTTTCGACTATAACTTGATTCCTTAAAGTACTTTTTAGTAAAAGTATGGAATTTTCAGCATGTGATATCGGTAGCCCAAATTTTTCAGGCCGACCATTGATATCAGGTGCGCGTCGGCAGGAGATCGAACTCGGACCATGTGCATGGTCGACGAGAGTCCTAACCACTGTGCCACAGACGCACTATTGGAAATAAATCTGATGCTCGCTAGTGACTTGTTCCAGGAAGGAGTTTTCTGGAGTTCTAGTGCGACGTCGTGACCATTGATGTCTATCCAGTCAAGTGTGAGGATGGATGTCCTACCGATGACATTGGTTGGTCGTCGTGTTAAATCACGAATGAGTAGAAGTTAGAATTCATAGGCTGGCCATTGAATCGTGTCTCAGTGACTGAATGGTATACGAGCTTACCCTGTACCCTGGAGGTCCTGGGTTCGAAACCCCTGTGGCAGGTGCATACTGCCAACTATTCGCAAACTGGGATGAAACAGCTGGCTGTCCAGTACTCCATAGTTTTCAGTGGTCCGTTAACTGATATCAACCCGTAATCAACTCGTAAAAACAAATCTAATCCTTAAAAGCAACCATTAGAATATCATTTACTCAAGAGATAAACGTGAAAAGATTTGAATTTAGTAAGAAAACTAACAAAAGTGTTTTAGAAAATATGAGAATCTTACGTCACCTATATATACTGGATAATTCTGTTAAATTTAAAGTACTGTGTTATATCTTATTATTGTTGTTTATCCTGATTTTTTGAGTTCCGAGTGCAATATAAGGCTTCAAGCTTAGACACTAAAACTCTATTCCCAGTTGACTTTTTTACAGGATGAGGTTGGTAGCTGTACGTCCAACCCATCCTCCCCACCAGGCTTAATACCAGCTAAGCAAGGTTTAGAAGTGCACCAGCCAGGAATCGAGCCCCGGACCACGTGAGTGGTTGGCGAGTATTCTGTGGCTTAACTTTCGATGCACTCACATTTAAAGTACTACGTACTGAAAAGCAGAAAACACTTTCATTAGAAAAGCCATCAACCACCGAAATGAATTTACACTTAACCTACGTCTCCTTATTAGTAATCATGAAGCAAAAAGCTTGGAAAAGTACTTTCCCATCATCAAAGGTGATAATCTGAAGTACTGCCTACAAAAAAATGTTTCCGTTTATTCACAATAATTTGTATACTTTTTGACTAATTATACTGAACCGAAACGCTTGGTTTCTGTACACATATCGACTCCTAGTATGAACGCTTCGGTGGCACCAACAAGAAATACAAATTAACTCAGAGAGATAACAAATGGTCCTTGTTGCACAAGAGATGCCTGTCATGGCCCAGTAGGTCAGTAGATAACGTTTCGTCATTTTAAACAATTGGTGATAGGCCTGAGTCCTGGTTGGAACTCCGCCAGCCTCTAAAGATGCAGGTGCATCCAGCTGACATGAAGAACAGACTGCTCATTTTCATTTTCAGTAATTGGTTTGTTTCCTTTACTCAAAGACGTATAGACGAGGTTTCAAAAATCTATCAGACTGTGGACCATTTGTGAATTTTGTAAATAATTACCTTACTTTAAATATAAGTTCAAGTATGTGTGTGTGTCAATGATTCATTGATGATATGCTAGTAAGCCACGCACGTGATCCAGGTCTCATTCTCCACAGATGCACTCCTAACCCTCGTCTAGCTAACTGGTCAGTGAAAAGCCCAAAAATTAGAAAGTTGAGCATGTGGCTAACAACCACACCTTGTAAAGAGGCAACACTACCACCACAAAAACTCTTAGCTTTATGCGTATTTCGGATTGTTCAATCTTTTGAATAATATTACTAATTTTAAGCTCTTCCAGTTTTAAATAATGGGCATTTCTGAGGGATGATTACGAAATTGTTCAGTATCTGAATGTACCGTTAGCCTTTGAAGACAAAGTTACTTTCTTATTAAAATACAGACATGGACATATTTTTCTGTAATATAGATAAAAATATAAAGTTGTAAATATTCTTAAGACTATTTGAAGATTAACATTAATAATATGTAATCAATAAATTTGAAATAAGGACAAAATTTGGGTTGAAGATTAACACTAATGGATTGCAATAAACAAAGATAATTTGTTTCATCTCTTAAGAACAAAAATTTGTCTAGAACTTGTCACCAGTCACTTGGGAAATACATTATTTATGATGTTTCTTCGGAGTATATTTATACATAGTAATTAAACCTAAACAACCAGTTTTCTCAAATAAACCTTCTTTTTCATGGGTGTATGTATGAATATCTTGATAAGCTTGTGATTTACTCTAATCCTTGTAATTACCGAACACGGCGATAATAATAATAATAATGTGATCTTCGTTTCTCTTCAAAAAAACCTCAGTGAAATGAAAAGGTTCTCCGAATTTATTCCAACATCTTTGATTGTTAGTTGATCTGCTCATTATGTTGCGCAATTCTAGTTCCACAGGATTCACAAAATTCATATCCCCTTCCCTTTAAAAAACAAAATATTGCACAAATTCTTTTCACTGTCTGTACACAACATGTTGTTATGTCAGCTTGTCATAGCAAGATGACGGTTACGGTTTCCTGTGGTTGAAATTCCACTTGTAAAATGTTTAAATAGAAGTAATTTTTAGTCAAATAGTGTAATATCTCGTCGAAAGTGGTGGAAACTGAGAGCTCCCTAGATGCCACGTTGATCTGGTCTGACTGCGGTACTCCTTACATCTTTCAGCTGAATTGCTAATACAAAAAGTAAGAAATAATTGCAGGGTGATATTTTCTAATGAAATGGGTTTTTCTTTGTAGCAGCTATTCTTCCTTTTGACACAGATTCATTTTATGAAGAGGTCATTAGTTTCAACGGTTACTAAGATGTTTCGCAGTTATTTAGAGGGACGCACTGGCCACTTTCAGTCGATATTTCTACTAATAACATGTACATACGTCTTTTTAATGTATTACCAAAACTCTTATATACGTTTCATAGAAGACACTATGGAAATTATTTTATTCAGTCATATTTTTAAACCTACGTTTATTAATATCTGCTGAAATTATTATATTCTTTTATTATTTTTTCTTTGGGTTACGAGTCAAACACATGGCTTTAACAAAGCATCTCTCCTTCATACCGTTCTCTGCAGTCTTTTTGGATGGCCCCACAATTGCCCATAAGATTTCATCTCCCGTTTTAACAATCTCCTTCATGTCAACCATGGGTCCACGTCCAATTTGTCGTTTACCCCTCGGGTTACACTCGAGCGATTATCTAGTGAGCGGTGTTATTCGACGGTCTTTTCAGGGTATACTCAATTCGTCCCCATTTCTTTTAGGATATTTGTTAGGCAACAGGTTATTGACAAGTTTGTTCTCAGAGTCGATTATCGCTAATTCTTTCTGGCTGTTTGGTCTTCACTATGGAGCTAGTGAAGACAGCTGTTGATAAAACGTCGTAGTAGGTTGTTGGAAATGCTTTCCGCGACGCATGCGACGTATTTCTGACCCATATAGAAGAACTGACTAACTTAAAATTTGTATTAAAAATTCGAATTTCGTTCTTTATGCTGTCTGCATGCTGATTCCAGAGTGATCCGCTGAATATGTTATATAGCAAAGAACTTGTTCAGTAGTCAAATTTTTTCTCGGTTACCTTCATCTAGTGTTGATCTCCAGTAATTTGACTGAACTCAATCAAGATAATGAGGTGACATATGCTAGAAAAAAACAAACAGTACTGGAAACCTCTTTCCTTCTGCTTTGGGACAACTCAGACGTAATCACCTATGATCCTACGGGGGATAGCAAACTACCAGAAGTTAGAATTTATAGGTCACTGGGTTTCGTCCCATTGATTGGATTACAGACCGACTGGCCTCCCAGTGAAAAGGATTTAGGTTCGATCTTTGATGGAGTCATACATATACGTATATATGCTTACAAACGAAGACTGTCAAACTAGGAAGAAATATCTGTCCAGTATTTCTTGATTTTCAAAGGTTCTTTAACTATTGTTGATTCGTGATTGAACTCGACCTTGTATAGTCCATTAGTAAGCGTTATTGGAGAGAAGAATTGTGTGGTTGTTGAACACTATATTAA